AAAAAAAAAAAAAATTCTCAGGGAAAATATGCAAGACCCCATCCCTACTCCTGACCCCACCCCATTGCAATTTTTCCACCAGGAGTATATTCACCCATGGAGTCCCAATTTTTATCAGGGGCTTGGGGAACGTCTCTTATTAGATAACCTAATATGGACAGCACCTGGTTTTATCCCCTGGCCCATGAAAAACAAAGCTCAAGTTTGCCTCATTTGGCAAATGATTTCCAGGTGAAAGCTGGTTTTCAATGTTCCACCTAATACTCTAAGTAAATTATAAATTTTGTTTTGCTTTTGGTTTCTCTGTATTCCTTATCAGTATTCCAGCTCAACAATGCATGATTTAAACATATTTTATCCAACATTAAAGTTGCTGAGTCACACTACCAGAAGCAGAAATGCATTTGTAAGATCCTTAGAGGAAAGTCATGGATACTTGACTTGGGAGACCTGACTATGTTTTAACTTCTTCCAATCTCTTCAGTTCTTTCCAACAGCCTCTGGCTGTTGTCAACTGCACAATCTCCCTCGGAGAATGGGAGCTACAGCCTAATCATTTTCCAATGCACCTACTACCTGCACAATCAGTGGAAGTTCAAGTTGTTCTCCTTACACTCAGCACTGTTTTCTAACACCCCTTTCTCTTGCTAGGAGAGGCACTGGGGTGGTTTATAAAACCTTCCTCTCTCCTGGGTACTCTCAGTGTCTGAGTGCTTCTCAGGGGTGGGTGTGGAACACAACATTCCCCAACAGGTGAAGGGCTTGCCGTTCTAAGAATTTCTTTCCTTTCCCTCCCCTATCCTACTCTCCTTATATAACCTGATATAGGGGTGGCTTTGAGGTGATGGTTACTAGCAGCAGGGTAAATTCAGCAGCTGGCTTGGCTTTGTAAGATCTGAGGGTGTCTAGCATGGAATTTTTGTTTTGTTTTGTTTTGTTTTGGGGGGGTTGCAGTTTTGGGCCAGGGCTTGGTTTGAACCCACCCACCACCTCCGGCATATGGGGCTGGCTACCTTCTCCTTTGAGCCACAGGCACCGCCCTTAGCACCAAATGTTTTTGAAAGGTTCTGGCATAGAACCGAGGTGAGGGTCTACAAGAAAGGAGAGGAGGCCAGTCCATGGACAAGGACAGACTTTAATAGAGGGGAAAAGGAGAATGAAGACTGACCAGGTGTCAGCTCAGCTCCATATAGTTATAAAAGGCTTTTATTAGCCTTATCAGTATGAAATGGGGCAGTGAGCCCAGAAGTACCACCTGGGGCTCTTCTCTAGTGTGGGTCGGGATACAGGTATATTTTTAGGATTATGGACCAGCATATGGGAAGGATATTTCTGGGAACGCTGGTCTTGAGGCACCCCAGGACTGTGGGGAGGGGATTGCTGCTTTCTGACTTGGTTTTCTAAAATGGCTGCACTCCTGTCAGGGTTATGAGAATTCCTTTCCCACGGTTTGCATCTCTCTTCGGAATGCAGAAGAACTTAATCCTCAACTCTGAGGCTCGCTTATCAGTTCTGGGACAACAGGAAAAGTTCCTCTTATCTCCTAGTAATAACAAATGGCTCTACTGCTGTTGCCATGGCTCCCATCACACTCAAAATAAAATCCATACTCCTCATCACCACCTTCAAAACCTTGCTCTATCAAGCCCCAGCCTGCCTTTCCTACCTCTTCTCTGTTCGCTCTCCCATCCCTCACTCTGTCACATCACTCATCTGCTCCTAAAACACATCAAGTTTGTTCCCACCTGAGAGTTTTTCATGCACAAGCTTAGTTTCTTCAGCCTGTGACTCTTTCCGCCCTTCTGTTCCCACAGTTGCTTTCTTAAGTCCCAGGTACGAAGTCGCTGCCTACCCAGACTGTTACCAGATGAAGAGGGTCCACCTGCCTGTCACTGTCAGCCAATATGCAGAGAAGGGATAAGTCCAAACACGCTTTATTTGTCAGAAGGCTGGCAATTCTGGAGAACAGCCAGGGCAGCCTCTCAATTTTGTTCTGTCTCAGTTATAATTCCAAAAATTTTTATGAGGAAATACAAGGAAACAGACCAAGAAAAATTTAACTTTATCTGAGAGGGAGTAACGTCAAAGTAGTCTTCGTTCTAACAATGTAAAATGTTTAGATAACAGAAAGCTGATTTTCACTTATTAAATACCTAAGAGAATCAGCAGAGAAAACATCACATTAGCAAAGTAGCCTTTAGTCAACCACTATCACAATACCTGGTGTGTGGCTATGTCCTCACGTTTTCCTGAGGCAAACTGAGAGGTCTGGGGATAGAGTCCTGCCAGAGTCCGCAAGAAGGAGGGGAGCCCAGTCCAGGAATGGATAGGCTTTATTTTAAAGAAGCAGAATGGAGTCAGCTCAGCTCACATGGTTTCAAGGAACTTTTTTTCTTTGAGACAGAGTCTCACTATGTCACCCTCGGTAGAGTGCCATGGTGTCACAGCTCACAGCAACCCCCAACTCTTGGGCTTAAGCGGTTCTTTTGCCTCAGCCTCTCAAGTAGCTGGAACTACAGGCACCTGCTACAACGCCCGGCTATTTTTTGTTACAGTTGTCATTGTTGTTTAGCTGGCCCAGGCTGGGTTCAAACCCACCAGCCTCAGTGTATGTGGGTGGTGCCCTAAGCATTGAGCTGAGCCTCAAGGAACTTTTATTAGTGTAGTTGGAGTGGGGGAGAGATGAGGGAAGTAATCTTTTCTCCAGAGTGAAAGATGCTGTGTCTGAGACTGATTTTAGAATTACTGCCTTCCACAAACGGTGTTAATCTTACAGGAAGGCCTTATCTCTAGTGCCAGCCAGGACCAGGGGAGGAGATCCTGGTGCTTCTCAGAACACTGGCCCTAAAGCATTTCAGGAGGGTGGGGAGGGGGTTGCTGTGACTGTGCCATTTGGTCTCTGACCTGCTTTCTATCACTAGCTGTCCTCCCAGGATGGCTATACTCTTGTCAGTGTCATGAGGATTTTTAAGAGTATGGGAAGGGGGTTGCTGTAATCATGCAATTCGGTTGCTGGCCCGCTTTCTTTCTCTACTTGTCTCCCGAATAGCTATACTTTTGTCAGAGTTCTGAGGATTTCTTCCCCACACAAACATCCTTACAATCATAGTGAAACCTTAACTAGATAATCACGGAAGGTGTAGGGGAAGCTGACTAGGTCAGCTGTACTGCTTCTCAGGCTCCATCTTGCAGGCTCCTTTTCTAGCTTCAAGAACACTCTAATTTATAGTTCTGAATTACATTCTCTGTTAATTCCAGAGCGTTATATTCAGGCATCAGTAAAAGAAATCATTGTGGCTTTTTTTTTTTTTTAACATTCATCCTTTGATATAGAAAGGTAACATTAGGAACAGTTAGCTGCAGTCATTTTTTACAATGTCAGTATGTGACACTCTAATGTTAGGACATCAAGTCTAAGTCTAGGAAATCTAGATCGATTATTTGTGATAGATAATACATCATTATATAAACCTAACAGCTCTATCTAAAAGTTCATCCTGTCTTTGTATTGAAATTTTTCATCACTTATGGCTAGTCTTATAACAGAGGAAATGGCAAAAAAAGGGGGGGGTAGAAATATTGACCATTTCTTTAAAACTTCCCTCCCCTTTTGGGGAATTGACACCTGCATCCCAGGCTCAGCCAGTTGTTCTGCAGGGGAGGGTGCTTTATTCTTTGTACCACAGAACAAAGTTCAAGGGAAAGGTCTAGCAGTGGGCAAGGTGAGGTGGGCAGAGATCACAGTACCGTTCAACTGTGGTTAAACAGAAATCCCCTAAAGTAAAAGCTTTCTGTTTCTGGTTATGATTAGGACGTTGGCATTTTAGACCGGGAGTCTCCATCCTTTCCATTTGTGGCAAATTAAACTCCTCTCTTTTCCTTGCCTCAACTACTTGTCCTCCACCTTGTGGTGCGGCCTGGGGACAAATGCCCAGCTTTAGGTAAGTTCCAATCACAAAATCCTAAGCAATGGGATACCAAGTAATGAAATAATTGTGCAGTAGCACATTCACTCTTGCACACTGCTCTCGAAGCCCTGGATTTATCCTACTTTTTTTCTCTCCTGTAGTATTATTAAGTATTTCTTGATAGGTGTAGTCTGGAGAGTCACAGTATGTCAAAACCTTTGGTACTAACCTATGGGTGACGATGGCATAGAAGAGGCGATAGAAATTGTCTCTTGATGAAGATGCAACATTCCTTACCCTTTAACCTCACTCCCTTCCTGTCTCATTCCTATAGCTGAAGACAGGACCTGTTATTATCTTGTTAATAGATTTACATTTTTACTGTTCTGGCTTGTGGATAGGAGTGTATGCTGGCTCCCCGAAAGTGGGATCTCCCTGAAAGCGATGTCTTTCTTGGCCAATGCACCCACGTATCCCGCGCCTAGCAACGGCCCTGTCGCAGAGGAGGCGCTCAGGGACTGCGCGCCGACCACCCGCGCACACGAATACCGAAGGCTCACAGCAGCTCTGCGCTCGCTGCGGACTCCGGGGGCGCCCAGGGTGCGCGGCGCTGCGCCCCCGGAGGCCGCCTCTGCAGGGGCGCGCGCGGGGGGCGCCGGGAAGTGTAGTCCGCGCGCCGCCGCGGCCCCGGGGTTTGGCAGCGAGGCTCGCTGCGCAGGCGCACTTCCGGCTCCGGGCCGCCGCTGCGGCCATTGTCCGGCCCCTGTGCGGCTGAGACCACTTTGGGCAGCCGGTCAGCGGGTCAGAATCCGAGAGAACGAAGCCTGCGGCGGGGGCGGGAGTTATCCGAAAAGGACCTGAGTGGGCCGGAGGTCGCCAACTCCAGAGCCCCCGGAGGCGGAGATTCGAGTGAGCTGATCCGGGCTGGTGTCCGCCCGGCCTCGCCCATCTTCCTGCTGGTGGGACTGGGCGTGGTCGAGGGGGTGCCCGGGAGGAGGCCGAGCCTTTAATTTGCCGGGAGGGAGCGCAGCAGGCTGGGCGGGGTCCGCGGGGCTCCCCACCGGTCTCCGCCGGAGCAGTGGTTGGGGGCGGAGGCGGGGCCGGCGGGGCGGGGCGGCGTCGGGGGCCGCTGCCTGTTAAGTCGGCCCTGTCCCCTCTCCCCAGCCCCAGTCCGCCACCCAGACCCTGGCGAAGCAAGAATGCCTCCGAGGCCTCCGACGGCGGCGCCCCAGGTGAGCAGCGCGTTCCCAACCTCCTGGGCCGCCCCTTCCATCCATCCCCCCACCCCCGTGGGGGTGTTTGGAGCAGTCATTGTTCTACGCTGGGCGATTCCAGTTCTTGGCTCCATCGCCTCGGAGCCACCTAGCCAAGGTGTCCAGAGCCGGGGGAGCGAGGTTCCCAAAAGGGGTGCTGCACTGAGGCGTAGACGGGAACGGGGAGCCGTGCGGTCTTGTGAGAGGAGTTAAGGTTGGATGCGTTGGAAGTGTCACTGTTGAGAGTCCCGAGTTGCCACGCTGATTCTTTGAACTCTTGTCAATAAGGAATGGAAAGGGTGGGGTGACAGGATGGAAACCTGTAGCGGGGTTGGTAACCGACTGTGAGTGAGGAGAGAGGAGTCCCATCTTCTGGCCCAGGCTCGTAGAGGCCGTAAAAGGATGAAGAAGTCTGGTCAGAACATGTCAGGGAAGAGGCTGGAGATGGGTTTTCTGAAACTAGGAGGCTATAAAACAAAACCAGGGCTGACTTGCCCCAAGCTTTTCATGTCCTTTTTAGCTTTAACAAAGGCATGATGGTGCACACCACCCCCAGAAGTCTAGTCTTCACTCTAATTAATATGAAGCTGATTCATGAACCCATTCTTGTGGCAGAAGGTCCATTTTCTAGAAGCATCACAACTGTAAGGTTATCCTCTGATTTACACTGAGTATTTTGGTGAAAATATGTATAACAAGATCCGGAAGGTCTCTGGATCCTCTTTAGAATTAAGAAAAATGACAAAATGTAGTTCCTAGTTGTGTGAGCCAATCAAGACCAATTCATATAAAAACACCAACTAGTAATGTCCTCTAAAAGAAGTTCACAGCAAATTAAGTACACAATGTTATAATGCTTCTTTTTTTTACTTCTTGTTTTTCTGTTTTACAGGAGTGAGCTTTAAAGTAATACAAGTAACAATATTACAGGAGTGAGGTTTAAAGTAATACAAGTAACAACACTAGAACAAGACAGTTACTTGCTTTTTGAGGAGAGCCACAGCAAACATACAAAATGTTTCCTCAATAGCCTGGGAGAATTAGTATGACTTAACACCTCATCAAGGTCTCTGGTACTTTCCAAAGGGGGGGGGGTTGCCTTTTTAATGGTGACCTTAGTTACATGTTCTGAGCAATGAATTTTAGGGACTTCACTTTTACTTTTTCTTTCTTTTTTTTTCTGGGTAGAGTGCTGTGGCATCATAGCTCACACCAACCTCAAACTCTTGGGCTCAAGCAATTCTCTTGCTTCAGCCTACCAAGTAGCTGGGAATACAGGCACCTGCCACAACACCTGGCTATTTTTAGAGACAAGGTCTAGCTCTGACTCAGGCTGGTCTCAAACCGGTCAGCTCAGGCAATCCACTGCCTCAGCCTCCGAAATGCTAGGATTACAGGCATTAAACTTCACTTTTAAAGCTGTGTTCCCCCAGCACTCTGGCTCAGTTATATTCTCATGGAATGGCCAGACAGTCCACTTGGGTCATCTCAGGGTGTGGATGATGGCCAGGGATGAAGGACAGAACAGAGCATTGGCTCTTTTTAGGCAGAAATTTCCCTTTGTTTCAGTGGTTCCCCTTCTTTGAGCATGGCCCTCAGGGGAAAGATGAGTCATGAGTCACATGACTACTTCTCTAGAAAGTTAATTTGGTGGGGGTAGACAGCCTCATATAGAAGTATAGTGTAAGAGAGGTGCTTTCAAGTGTTGTCACAGAGGTCCAGAAGCGTCTACCCTGTTTCTCTGAAAATAAGACACTGTCTTATATTTATTTTTTTCTCAAGAAGACACACTAGGGCTTATTTTCAAGGGATGCCTAATTTTTATTAAGTATAATACAAGAATCTACATTTATTCAAATACAGTTAAGTCATCTTCTTCTGGAACCTGACAGGGGGAGCCGAGCTTGGTGGGGCTGGCGCTAGTGATGCGTGAACTCCTTTCCCCTAGCTGTTGGCATGTGCGCAATAGGATGCCTGCAGCCAGTGGTTACCACACATGCACCCACGCAAGTGCGAACAGCTCGGGGAAAAGAGCTGTGGCAGATAAAAGGTATTCTAGTCTTCCTTACTGCTCCACTCCGAAATGCATGGCCACACCCATCACTAGGTCTTATTATCAGGGTAGGGCTTATATGTAACAAATGCATAGAAATCCTGCTAGGGCTTATTTTTTGGGTAGGTCTTATTTTCGGGGAAACATGGTATGAGTTCAGAGAGGGACCAGAAAGTTTTTTGCCTTGGGAAAGAGTCAGTGGAGATGTCACCTTTGAAGAAGAGTACAGTTTTTTTTGGGGGGGGGCAGATTCTCACTGTGTCACCCTGGGTAGAATGTCGTGGTGTCATCATAGCTCACAGCAACTTCAAACTCTTGGGCTAAGCAGTCCTCTTACCTCAGCTTCCCAACTAGCTGAGACTCCAGGTACACCCTACTATAACCAGCCAGCTTTTAGGGAGTTTTTTTGTTTGTTTTTTGTTTTCTATTTGTGGTAGAGATGGGGTCTCGTTCTTGCCCAGGTTGGTCTTAAAACTCCTGAGCTCAAGCAATCCACCCACCTCAGCTTCCCAGAGTGCTGGAATCTCAGGCATGAGCCACCTCATCTGGCCTAAGGTAAAAAAGAAGGGGAAAGGGATAGAAGTGATGGACTTTGTAAGTCAAGGGAGTTGGGAAGTGAGAAGATGAGGAGGAGCATATTCATTAAAATCAGTGTCCTGTGTGATAGCAGCTGGGGGCTGCAGGCATTGCGTAGATAAGAATAGAGGGAGTTTAGATTTTGTTCTTCTTGACTGTGTAATTCATTCATCAGTTCATTCTGCAGATAGTCAGTCATCGAGCCCTATGATGTGTTAGGCACTTTCCTAGGCAGTTGGGATACTTTTGTGAATAAAATTTGTAGAGGACTCTGCTTTCAAAGACTTTACATTCTGGAAAGGGGAGAAGAATTCAGTAAATAAGTAAATTATATGGTATCCTAGAAGGCAGCAGTACCTCAAGAGAGAAAAAAGGCAGAGAAAGGTAAGGGGGAATTGAATGGGGAAGTAGGGGCTTGTGGTAGGGGTGTAGTTTTAAATGTCATGGTCAGGATCAGCCTTATCCTTACTGAGATGGTGTCATCTGAGCAGACCTGAGAAAGGTGAGGGAGTTAATGATGGAGCTGTGTGGGGGAAACATCTGGATAGAGGGAACAGTCGAATGCAGGATGTGTCTCTGCCATATTGAAGAAGCTGCAAGGAGGCCAGTGTAGCTTGAGCTGGTGATTTCGGGCAGGGAACTAAGTATGACTTCTCAGAATTAAAGATTGCTATGAATGATAAATTGTAGGAGAATGAGTTTGATAGTTGGAGCTCCTTATGGAGAAGTGTTTTGATGAGCGGGGCTTTCCTCCTTTGCATAGTTAAGATATACTCCAGGTGGCTCCACCTGAAGTGGGATGGGACTGGGAACAGAGGTGGAAGAGGCAGGCTGCCTCCCCTCGTAGCACTAAGATAGTAAGATTCTTAGTAGTAGTTTTATTTGTGTAAACACTCTGTGTCCTTGTTCACCTTTTCATGACACATACACTGCATTTTAAGTTGGAGAACAAAAGGTGTTTGCCATTCTTAAAATCGAAACCACCACCTAGGGTGTGGTGGCTCTTGCCTGTAATCCTAGCGCTCTGGGGAAACTGAGGTGAGTGGATTGCCTGAGCTCAGGAGTTCAAAACCAGCCTGAGCAAGAGTGAGACCCCATTTCTACTAAAAACAGAAAAACTAGCTGGGCGTTTTGGTGGGCACCTATAGTCCCAGCTACTCTGGAGGCTGAGGCAAGAGGATTATTTGAGCCCAGTAGTCTGAAGTTGTTATGAGCTAGGCTGACACGTTGGTACTCTACCTAGGGCAATAGAGTGAGACTGTCTCCAAAAAAAAAAAAAACACCTTAAACCACCAGAACAGTAAGAAATTAGGGGAGCTTTCTAAGAAAAAAACCTGCATATGAAGACCGGATTTCTTGGTGTCTTACCATGATGGCAAGGAAATGGGGAGGATTCGGGCCTGGTCTTCATTGATTCTGGATCCTGAGAGTTCTGTGGTCAGATCATCAGGATGAACAGAACCAGCAAAGCCTGGCTTAGGTCACCCAAACTCAGACAGGATGCTCCTGGGCCACCAGGGGAAAGCCAAGCCACTTGCTGAATCAGGTCAGGATGTTTGTGGTCAAGGATTTTGTGTTTCCTCTGTGTTTGCTGAGCTGACTGGAGCTGGTCCTTAAGCTTCAGCTCACACCTGCCTTCCAACCAGATAAAGTTAGATACCTCTCAAGTGTATTCCCATGACACCTGTGCACACTTGTCACAGCACCACTCTTACATAATATGGAGTGGTGTGTTTATCCAGCCATGTCTGTACCAGGCTTATCCTGTAGGGCAAAGCCTCCTTTCAACCCTTCGCCCCAGAGTAAACACAAAGTTAAGCAGGTCTCATATAAATGACCATTCATAACCACTTAAGCTCAAGCAGCAATTTTATACTTTCTTTTTGCTTCTATTATAGCAAAATTTGTGTGTTCCAGGCACAAGGATCCTAATTTTCTGATAAAATAATTACATGAAACAGTGTGACTTGCACTGAACAGCTTTAAGAAATTTATCTCTCTCTCTTTTTTTTCTTTAGAGACAGAGTCTTACTTTGTTTCCCTGGGTAGAGTGCCATGGCGTCACAGATCACAGCAACCTCCAACTCCTGGGCTTAGGCAATTCTGTTGCCTCAGCCTCCTGAGTAGCTGGGACTACAGGCACCCACCACAACACCCGGCTATTTTTTTGTTGCAGTTTGGCCAGCCAGGTTCAAACCCACCACCTTCAGTGCATGTGGCTGGCGCCATAACCTCTGTGCTACAGGCGCCGAGCCTTAGAAATTTATCTTTAGGACAATGTTAGGGTATCAAAACCTGTTCTGTTAGGACCTGTTTCAAAACTATGATTCTTTTCCTGACTTTTTGTCTT